ATTGATCAGCAGCGCAGTCAATAACATTTTCTATGTTTGAATCCTCAGTGTCTATTGATCAGCAGCGCAGCCCGGCAGCAGTGTACTTTCGGAGAAATCATCAATTTGGTTTCAGCCGATACACAGAAGCTGATGGACTTTGTGGTTTATTTCAACTGTATTTGGGTCACACCCATTGAGATCACACTCTGCTTCTACTTCCTGTGGCAGGTAACACACAGTATACACACAAGGTTGATTGATTGATTGATTGATTGATTGATTGATTGATTGATTGATTGATTGACAGCTCCTTGGTCCACCTGCTCTTGCTGGTATTGCTGCTGTTGTTCTAATCTTCCCTCTCAATGGATTCATCGCTAAAGTGAGGAGCAGACTGCAGGTGAGAGATCAGTTTCATTGCCCTAATCCAGATCTAGATCCTGGCTCAGAGCTGAACCACAGTCTGTTCCTCAGGAAGTTCAGATGAACTTCATGGATGGTCGGATCAAACTGATGAACGAGATCCTGAGTGGTGTGAAGATCCTCAAATTTTACGCCTGGGAAGAAGCATTCCTCAGAAGAGTCAGTGTCCTGAGAGATGGAGAACTCCACGCCCTAAAGAAGTCTCAGATCCTGTACTCTGTCTCTCTGGCTTCCTTCAACTCCTCCTCCTTCCTGGTGAGTCTCACACCTTCCTGCTCAGGTAAGCCTGACCCAGTAGCTTACTCTGATGAACTGTTGTACGGTTATTGGTCAGCTGAAGAGACTGAAGAGCAAGGGTCCCATCACACTCATGTGCCCACTCAGAGTACTGAGTCACTGTAAAGACTCATTGATCCTGTCACTTCATTCTAACACTAGTTTTATAGACATACAGTATCTCTACCTGGTATCTTAAGTAATATGATCACAAGCTTTAAGTAGGTAATTTTACACCATTACAATGCATCTCCAGTGACCTCTTGTGATTTGATCTCTGTCACTTCCCCGCTCTATATACAAATTAACAAAATCAGAATGTGGTCACTCAGTGTCCATTCCTTCTGTACTTTTGGCTGTTTCAACTATTTGTTCCTTTTTTCAGTTCAGTTCAGCTCCACACTAAACTCTTCCATCAGTGTTTTACATGCTCTGTCAGCAGCCTACAGCAGGTGCATTGTGGGATTTTATGACTGAACTTTATGAGCAGACACACAGTTTTACTTCCTCTGACAGTGTGGGAACCTGATGTTTCAGCTCATAAATGATGCAGAAAGACATTAATGTCAGAGAAAAAAAGTGTACATCCAGCGGGCTGCTGACAGGCTGTCAGTCCATCAGTCACTCACAGTGGACACCAGTGGAGGAGGTTAACTATAATGTTTACTGAATTTACAAGACGGTTTAAATAATTATCTGTGTTAGACAGAATTTCTCCTAACTCAATAATTCTAAAATTTTGTGATTTTCAAATGGAGTCTGGTGATATTGTGGTTACTAGTTGAGGGGCCAAATCAGTTGTAACAGAATGTGTGTTCACAAACATCTGCTGATGATTTCAAATATGACCCAATCGGACTGCATGTTTCTGTGTTCTTACAGGACGTCAGTAAGTGGGTGGTCATTCGGTGTGGACCAGGACTCATAAGAGCGCACACTATAAATGATTTATGGTCTAATGGGTCCCATACCACCTGGTTTGATTTGATCACAATTAAGTCCTATTTATCAGATAGTTCTCCAGTTTGTACATGTTAACAATAAATCCTCCATAAACACTAAAGTTAGTCATGGAGTTTCACAAGGTTCTGTGCTTGGACAAATTCTATTCACCTTATACAGTATATGCTTCCCTTAGGCAACATTATTAGGAATCACTCCATTAACTTTCACTGTTATGCAGATGATACCCAGTTATATCTATCAATCAAGCCTGATTATGATTTCAGATGTTTTTATTATTTTACGCTTCATATATTCTTTCTGATGAACTCCAAATCATCTATGTTGTTTATTCTTTATGAAAATGAAAAAGTTTCACACATGTTGTTTTCTTCGTGTCTCGTCTTATCAGATTGCCTTGTCAGTGTTTGGAGTCTATGTGTTGACTGATGAACGGAACGTTCTGGATGCTCAGAAAATCTTTGTTTCTGTCGCTCTCATCAACATCCTGAAAACTCCTTTAAGTCAGCTTCCCTTTGCCATGAGCACCACAATGCAAGTGAGTCACACAGTTTTCAGTTTCTTCAGTAAAAAGTATTTTTTATTGTAATTTTTAACTGAATTTCCCAGTCCAGCTCTGAGCTTGCTCACATAAAATATGAACAATAATATGAACAATAACAAACATGGAGAAGTCACAGCACAGCAGCAAGTGCCATCAAATTAAACACATAATCCAGACTAAAAAAACACAAAAGTGCTGACTGTGTACCTTCGTATTCTCACATTACTAATTATAGTATTATGAGTAATATTATATATCACTGATTACAGTTTATAATATTGTAATAATATAATATATAAAAATCACTATAATATCAAAGTAGATCTGACTATGATTATATTTGTGTATTCTACTAATGTGTTGTGTATAACAGTTTTAGTCCTTAGCGGCTTTGTTGACTTGTGGAAATTAATAATTATTCAGTTATTATCAACATTAATAAGTGGTCGGTTAACTTATTTTCAAAAACTTTTCGTCATTTAAAAAAATCATATGCATTTATTTAACACACTAAAAACTGCTCCATTGTTCTAATTTGAGTTAATTTAACAAAATTAATCATCCATCAATCCCCAAAACAGTGCTCAAATAAGGGTTTAAAACTTTTAGTGAAAACTACCTGTGAACAATAAAAGGTCTGATGGTACAGAGCAGTCTCTATATTGAAACACACGTAAAGATATAATAAACTAATCACATTCAACTAAATGTGAATAATAAAATATATTGCTCAGACCAATATATTCTGTGTGAGACAAACAGGCAAATTCAATTCAATTCAATT